ATGAAGAAGATAATGATACATGAAATTGAGAAAATTACAACGTTATTTATACATGTTAAAGGTTCTATCATCTAGTTCTCCGATTTCTTTGAAATCCTAATTTATTCTAATTAAATGTATTACCTTAACCTTCTGTGTAGAATTTATTTTCAAGTTATTTCTAATATTTAAATTCCTTCGTTTAAATTTAATTTGAGAATTAAAGGTCTGTTACATTTTAGAATGTTAGAATATTTATTTCTCGTGAATAATCAATTATTTTATTGGTGATTAATATGAATTGGACTGATTTGAATATTTTCTGTGCTAATTTTTACGTTGTAGGCAAGGTTCTTAGGAATTGAAAACATTTTTGTTTTTTTTTTGTAACTATTTGGCTTCCAAAGCTATAACCCGGTTTAAAACTTTAATTGTTAATTAATTAAAAAGGATCGTCTTTTTCATAAATTGTTATAACACATCATTATACGGATGATATTTTTAATTCTAAAAAATGCTTTGAGCTTGCAGAACACGTCTCTCTACAACATTTTAAAAATATCGTAATTTTGAATATAAATTCAAGATGCCTACTAATATAAAATTTTTTAACACTGTTACGTTATAGATATACATGAAGTTGTGAATGTCATAAGATTACGACATCCGAGTGATAGCCATAATGTCATAATTAGGTCAATGTAATTCTAAACTAGCACTCTATAAAAGGTAAGTGATCGCTGACTATTTTTCCTTAATTTGTGTCACTATGAAGTTTTACACCATTCTAATACTAAATTGTCGGTAATCGACATATTAAAAAAAAATTTACTTATATCAGAGTTAAATCTAATATTTTGCATTCTTATTATTATTAGAGTTGCATCCCATGTGAGATATTAATAAAAAACCCCATTGAACAATATTAATTATTATTAATTAAATATTTTTTTTTAGAAAAAAAAATTGTTTTGAAAATAAAAATTAACAAGAAAAAAAAATGTCAACAACATTTATTGGTTCAATTGATCAAGGAACAACTTCTTCTCGTTTTTTGATTTTTGATGAACATGGTGATTTAATCTGTTCTCATCAAATGGAGTTTCCTCAACATTATCCAAGGCCGGGGTAATTAATTAATTTGTAATTGATATATTAATCTCTTTTTTTCTTTATATATATACATATACAAATTCATTATTTTAATTATCTTAATATATTTCAAATATAGTTGGGTAGAACATGATCCATCAGATATATTGAAATCAGTTCAAGAATGTGTCAAAGAAACATTAAAGAAATTCAATGGACTGGGTTATTCATTTTCTGATATTAAAGCCATTGGTATAACAAATCAACGTGAAACAACTTTAGCCTGGGATAAAACTACTGGAAAACCACTTTATAATGCAATTGTTTGGCCTGATGTTCGTACTCATGATTTAGTACATAGATTAAACAAAATATCTAGTTTGGGCTCAAAAGTATTAAATGATATTTGTGGTTTACCAATTACAACTTACTTTTCAGCTTTAAAACTTAAATGGATGTTGGAGAATGTACCTGAAGTTAAAGAGGCTCATGATAATGACAATTTATTGTTTGGAACTGTTGATACGTGGCTTATTTGGGTATTTTCTTATATAAAATTTTATTAATTGATTGGTTTAAAAAGAGATAAAGAAAAAGAGAATAATAATCATAAATATGTTATGTATTATATTAGAATTTATCAGGTGGTGTTGATGGTGGATTGCATGTTACAGATGTAACTAATGCTTCTCGTACAATGTTTATGAACATTAAGACATTGGAATGGAGTAAAGAATCCTTGGATTTCTTTCAAGTGAAAAGTAGCTGTCTACCAAAAATATGTTCCTCATCTGAAATTTATGGAACTATTAAGACAATCAAAGAATTAGAGGGAATTCCAATTGCTGGGGTTTTAGGTGATCAACAAGCTGCTTTAGTTGGACAAAAGTGTTTTACACGTGGTGATGCTAAAAGTACTTATGGAACAGGATGCTTTATGTTATTCAATACTGGTAAGGATCCTGTCATTTCTGAATCAGGACTACTCACAACAGTTGGCTATAAATTTGGTAATCAGGATGCTGTCTATGCTTTAGAGGGTTCAATTGCTGTGGCCGGTTCTGCTATTAAATGGGTCAGAGATAATTTAAAGATCATTAATGAGACGTCTGAGATTAATACATTGGCTGCTTCAGTAGAAAATACTGGTGGTGTTTATTTTGTCACTGCATTTTCTGGCTTATTTGCTCCTTATTGGCGTGATGATGCACGTGGTTGTATTGTTGGTATAACTCAATACACTAACAAATGTCATATTGCGCGGGCAACTCTAGAGGCTGCATGTTTCCAGGCTAAAGCAATTCTAAATGCCATGAACAAAGATTCCGGTCATCCTTTAACTTCTCTCAAAGTTGATGGTGGAATGACAAATTCTGACATTTGTATGCAAATTCAATCAGACATTCTTAATATTGAGGTTAATCGTCCTGCTATGAGAGAAACAACAGCACTTGGTGCTGCTATTGCTGCTGGTTTTGCTGTTAAAATCTGGAACTCTTTAGATGATTTGAAAAATGTTAATACCAAAGGCCATACCATCTTTTCTCCCAAAATTACCAATGAAGAAGCTCAAATTAAATTTGAACAATGGGAAAAGGCTGTTCAAAGAAGTTTAGATTGGGCATAAAGTCAACTTCATTATCATCAGAATATTTATTATACATATATATGATTATTTTATTTTATTATAATTAATTCTATATAAATTCATTACATGCTGAATACATATTATTCTTTATTATTTTGTTTATCAATTACCTTAATATTAATAATTTTTAATAAAAATTAAAAAAAAAACCAAGAATAATTTTATACCATCTCCCATATTTAATAAAAATAAACTAATACAAAAACTTGTTAACTTTTAATGAGTGCAACACAAAACAGTTGCATGGTTAAAGATGAAACAAAGAAAGGTATTTACTAGTTATTTGTGAATTATCGTTATATAAAATGAAGTGTAAAGTCTAATAAATATATAATTTTTTGTATTGTATCTGGGTCAGCAAAAAGCACAGGCCAAACACGAACCAACCGGTGAGGCTTCAATTAATCTTTCAATTTGATAAATGTCTCTTAATTTTATTTAATTTATAATTTTCAATCTTTTTTTTTTTTACAACAGTCTTTAGAGATAATATTATAAAAATTCTTTTAAACCAGGGGATTTTGATGAAATCTCTTTACCCTAGATTATAAAAAGTACAGAAAAACTTTATTTGAAATTCTTTTGTTTGGTGGTGTATTAGGTAAATTTTGTAATGACTTTGTTGGCTTTAACGAAAGATTAAACATACCCGTTACTCTTCCTCTTCTTGCTTCTCCTATTATTTTAATAATTTTTCTTGTCAATTCTTTATTTTTAGCACCTGGAGGTACTATATTCTATGCAGAAGATAATATTGAAAATATTAAAAAACATGTTAAGGTTTTCAATAATTTAATTAGACATTATTTATATTTGCAGCATATTTTTGAAGGTAAAATCAAGAACATGCTTCAGTATATTAACAAATGGGGTGCTGAAGAAAGCAATAAACTTGCCACTGCAATTGGTTTGTTTGCCTCTGGTAAATTGATTAGTATAAGCATTTTGAATGCTTTATTCGGTGAGCATCTTGTGAAAAAAGATGAATACAAATAAATCAATACACGCATGTATACTGTATATGCTTGTTTTATTAAGATTTTTTTTTATTTAACTTTATTATGTGAATATATTTGTACATGTAATTTTATATAGGACATTCCCTTCAATTTATCACCGCAGCCTTCAAAGCTTATCTTGGCGAACAAAACATGGAACATCTTGGTAGCTCCCTTAAAAAAGCTGGAATTGACTCCAAGCTTATAGATTTTTTTCCCGCCAACAAAAAAGACAAAGAATATTTTGCTCGCTATTTTAAGGCTGATTACATGAAACAACTTGTTGATTTTTATAATCAGCGATTAAAGGAATTCAATGAAAGTTCAAATTATTGAACATGCAGTTACTTCCACAAATTCGCCAACTATACTTTTTCTATTGAATTTTTATTTTTATTTTTTTAGATTACGCAGGATTACACAATAAAAATTATGGTTGTAAACTATATCCCATGCACAACTTGAAATATAAGGCTCATTTTCCATTACTAGTACTCGTCTCGGGTAAGACATGCAAAGCATATGTGACTCACTTAAATGTGTTATTAAAGTCCAGCAAGTGAGGGAATGGAACTCATGCTGGGTGTATTGACCCTTCGTGCGCTGCGTCTAAAGACATCAAATACTGCGCTATTTGCCGAAAATTTTAACAGTGATCTTTCCTGATTAAGAAATAGTTCAGATATGGATGGTACTTCGTATCTAATGACTAGAGGTTGGAACCGGTTCCTATTTTTCATAATCGATAAACCAGTTCCAACCTCTACTAATGACATCAAATGCTGCGCTTATTGCCGAAAATTTTTAATGCTGATCAAGAAATCATTGTGAATTAAATTATATAGAAAGTTTTTGGGAAGTAACTAAAGAATACACTAGAAAAAATTGTAATTATTTATATAAAAAATTAGAGAGAACTGATCCTCTGGCATTGAACTCGGTTTCACTTTGTAAAATTAGAAAGTTTGTTAGAAGATGTTGTATATTTATGAGTGCTTATAGATAGGACTTTCAGGAAAAGCTTTAATATTTGCAGCAAAAAAAAAAAAAATATAAATCTCAGAAAATTGCCAGAATCTATGTTGATATATTATTGTTAGATGCATTACGTGATAAAAGTTGATCTATATTAGTTTTCTGATTGGTCAAAAACATAGTGGAAATTTGAAATGTTACACAGATTTTTTATATTTGTGCAACGTAACTTTACAATACACGGTAAACATTCTGACAATAAAAAAAGTGATAAACTAGATTTGAATTGGATCTGAACTTGATCTCCAATTTAGAGAGGTAACAACTATATAATGGTGAAGTTTCAGGAGCAATGGGTTCTGTATAACATTTCGTGTAACAACAAACTTCCACTATGCTTTGATCAAATTAGTTTGATAGGCGTGCCGAATTTTTTAATTATATTGTAATAAATTACTTAATTTTAAACTCCCATAACTTTTTATTTTACTAATTAACTTTAAAAAATATCTCTATTACATTGTTGCTTATGTTCCAAAGATTGCAAAAATAGAGTTTTTTATGGACCAACTAATATTTCCAAAGTTATCAGGGTTTAAAGATTTGCAATTTTTTTTGATGTCTTTAGATAAGGCGCACCATAGTAGTAATGATCAGATCGGCGGCATAATAAAATCATTATTTTTATACATTACTATTACGTAGTATTAGGTAATAGTAACCGCAGGCGGTCAAAATGGATAAAAATTATTTAAATCGCTCTAAATACGGTAATTCTCTGTACCAAAGCCTTAAAATCGCGTGAATCCTTCTAAATATGATAATTATTTGGACCAAACCTTAAATCGTATAAATCCTTCTAAATACAAATTTATGTATGAGCCAATTATTTTACAGACAACATTCAAACGAAATTTTACTTGTCTTTAAATATTAACAATAATAATTATAAATAATAATGATCAATACCAATTATTTCTAATAATGATGAGTTATAGACAATATAAAAATATGTTTTATTATTGGTGTGACATAATATTTTTTTTCTTTTTTATCAGTTATTGCTGTTATTAAATTATTATAGCAAAGAGGTAGTAAACTTACTATAAATAAATGTATTTTATTTTTTACCTGAAATATATAAAAGAATTTATATTATAGATAAATCTTCCAGTTGACTTCCAATTTCTAAAAAATTTTAAATTGGTTCATCAAAAATCAATTAATTTATTATTTTTGATATTATTTTAGGCCAATGGAGAATATCAATAATGGTGACAATGATGTTGAAAAAATACATAATTGCTCAACTGTAAAAAAACTATTGTCAGATGGTGCAGATCCTAATGTTCAAAATGAAAATGGTGAAACTCCATTACATATTGCTGCAAAAAATGGTTCATTAGAATGTATTAAGATATTGTTAAGTTTGGATAATGATGATGATGATGTCGACAATGATGGCAATGAATTAAAATTAAATGATAATAATAGTGGTGTTGTTAATGGAGAGTACTTGAGAATAAAAGCAAATACTGAAATTAAAGAAAATCTTTATGGCCAGACTCCTTTATTTTTAGCAGGTAATCAAAAAAAATTTATATATATATCACATACATCATCAACATCAACATCATATATATTTGGGGCCTTTTCAATAGAAACAAGGACAATGTCAAAAATTATGATTTTGAATTAATAAAAACAATAGAAAACAAATGCAGACCTTTTTTTCAAAACATCATTTTCAATGTTGTCCTTGTTTCTATTGAAAAGACCTCATATCATCATCATCATCACCACCATCATCGTCATCATCACCATCATCATGATCCTCACCATTAATTATTTTATTAATAGTCATCGAAGGGCATGTAGAAGCTGTTAAACTTTTATTAGAGGCTAAAGCTAATCCAAACGTTAAAGATGATTCTGGATTAACACCTTATGCATATTCAATTCTTCATGGTCATATTGAATTAAAAAATCTTCTTCATCCATTAACTACAATTTCTGAATTTGAACCTCACTCATCATCACCAACCTCAAATAACAAAGCATCCGATTCTAAACAATCATTATTAGAAGAAGAGGGACAATATGTTACTAAAGAAGTTTTAGTTGGCCATAAGTATCTAAAAACTCAATCCATGATAATTGTTACATTGGGAAATACTGACATTCGTAAAGGTGTGACTTCAGTACAATTATATGATAAAAAGCTACCATCATCCAATCTATTTTCATTTGTGTCAATGTCACTTGTAATATCTGCTGAAAATGCCACTGGTGAACCATCTGTTGTAGAACTTTCAAGTATATCAACAGATCCTATAATTTTTCATGCAACCAATCCTGGAGATGTCATCTTAACATTTGACATAATGCCAACATATGGTGCAAAAAAACAACTTATTGGACGTGCTACAGCATTACTATCATCATTTGTTAAACCATCTTCATTGTCATCACCTGATTCAATTCATGCCTCGTTGACATGCTCAACAACAATTCCTATAATCAGCACTCAAGGACTTGATTTAATAGGCGAAGTCATGTTTGAAGTTTTGGTTGTCAACCCATTTAAACATCCTAAAATGATGCTTGATAAAAGAAACACATTTCATAGATCGTTCACCACTACAGTAATTGGTCATCGTGGCATGGGTGCTAATACTGTTACACCAAGTTTGCAGTTGGGAGAAAATACTTTAATAAGTTTTATCACCGCTGCATCACTTGGAGCTGAATATGTTGAATTCGGTATGTTCCTTTTTACTATAATCATCATCATTATAATCATAATACATTCATTTATTTTTTATAATTTTCTTTTCATTCAAATACATACATATATAGACATACAACTTACAAAAGATCACGTCCCAGTCATTTATCATGATTGGACTTTCAGTGAATCAGGCTATGATATTCCCATTCATGAAGTGACTCTTGGACAATTTCTTAATTTTAAAAAGAAAGAGCTTTCCTCAAAAGGAAATGATAACAACAACAAACTTGATATTGATAATTTTTTAATACAAGATCGTAAAATTATTGAAGAATTCATTCATCCATCATCAAATACCAATAGTAACAACAATAGTATTGGTATTGATATTAGTGGTAACAGCAGCAGTACCAATAATGCAATAATATTAAAAAAGCATAATAGTACAAGTTCTCTTGACTCATATAACAATTTGAATATTAATACTGAAATAAAGTTTAAAGGTAATAGTGCCGGTTCAATTCAAGCACCATTTGCAACATTGGCTGAAACTTTTAAGGTAATTCCGATAATATTAGTAATATATTAAATATAATGTATAATAAAGATGATTGAATGAAATAATTCCTTTTATAGAAAGTTCCCATCAACATTGGTTTCAATATAGAAGTGAAATATCCAATGATCGATGAATCTGAATGTGAAAATTTATCACCATTCCATACCGAATTGAATTTTTTTATCGACACCATATTGCATTGTGTTTATGAAAATGCACAGCAAGATCGTAATATAATATTTTCATCATTCCACCCAAGTGTTTGTCTAATGTTGGCTTTCAAACAACCAAATTATCCGATTTTTTTCTTAACAGATGCTGGATATACAAAGATGGCCGATGCTAGGTGCAATTCGATTCACGAGGCTATCAAATTTGCTAAATTCTTTGATTTGTCAGGAATTGTTACGTTAAATACACCAATTCTAGAGGCACCTGAATTGGTCAGGACAATCAAGAAAACTGGCCTGTTGTTGTTTACATATGGAAAGTTGAACAATAATGTAGAGAATGTAAAATTGCAAAGAAAAGCTGGCGTTGATGCTGTTATTGTGGTAATTTTATTTTTTTATTTAATTAATTATTGATGATGATCAATCAACATGATTATTAATTTAATTATTTATTAATTGATGAATTAGGATTCAGTTTTGGCAGTTAGAAATGGTTTGCGGAAAAATGAACACGAGTAAAATAATGAAGAATAATTGTGAAATTATATATACACATAAACAACTTTTCAATTTCTCATATTTTATTTGTTTGTTTGTTTTTATTTTATCTATTATCTGTGTTGTATATTAGAGAAAATTTTGTATAATAGTATTTATTGTATTTTTAATTATTTATTATTTTTATTTGAAAATTTTTGAATAAATATATTAAATTTTTTTTTATAGAATAACATTTTAAATTAAAGAATAAAAGTTTTCTATAACAAAAAAATAAATAATTAAATATTATTATAATAAAAGATATCTATTATTTTTATTTTTTTTACTTTTAGATTATTATTATTTATTTGGCTAATTTATTTATACATTTCATGACTGTGAAGAAAGTACTGCATTAGTAATTTGTACTCGTTTACTTCTCACTTCAATTGTCATACAAGGTGTGGTCAAATCCTATAAATAATTTATTTATTTAAAACAAATAACAAACTAATATATATTGTAATCACTAAGGTATAATTGATCAATCTTACCTGTTTCCTTTTCATTAAACAAGCCGAAAGTTCTTGATAGTGATTTAAAAGTTTATTCTTCAATACAGATTCTCTGTTCACTTTTGTGTTAAGCCATTTCATCAATTGATCAATCTAAATAAATAAATTAATGAATAAGTAAATAGATTAATAGAAATCCCAATTACACAAGTATATATCAAAAAAATATTTGAAGAATTACTAACATCTGATACGTCTTCATAGTAACCCCATTGTCAAAATTCATACCTGAATCTTCAGCTTTTTTTCTTTTGTAATAATGGTGCACATCTCTATCAGTTAACATTCTCAAATCTTGTTCCTGGGGAACTTGTACCCAAATTTTACCTGTACCATATTTTTCTCCAACTGTTATACCCAAACCATCAAAATAAAAATACTTGTTATAAAATCTATCATATCCTAAAGGTATAGAATGAGGCATTACATATTTTTTCTTGTCTTTTTCAATTTGTTCTTCCTAATTTTATCAATTATTTTTTTATTAAAAAAAGGATCTATAAAAACGATAACTTTTAGAAACATTATCCTTCTTTGATATACCTTTCTTTGTAATGATATTTCTTCATCTTTGAGTTGTTTTAGGATTGAAGCCTTGTCATATTTTTTTTCAGTCGGTTTTTTATGTCAGAACTCCCACTTTTCTTGGATTCAAAATTGGCATAATACCTTGTGCAATTTGACCAATGGAAGATGTGCTAATTTTAACAACAATAATAAAAAATGAAAATATGTAAAAGTGTCTCGTTAAACAACAAGAACGACTAATGATAATGATGATGGTGATGATGATAAAAGCATTTGATTTTGATATATGTTTCCTTACATCTGTCTTTTTTCCCTTAAAGTTTCATTTTTCTCTTTATTTAAATCAGCTCTCTTTTCAACAGAATTTTCGATGTGCTCGTGAACAATTGATGTTTTTGTGGCTGTGCTAACCAAAAGATCCAAAATTTGTAACTTGGAGGTAATATCATAAATCAAATTTTCATTCATCGTCTCTATGAATGCCTATTCCTTCTGATACAAATCCTTTGAAATATTTGTTTATTTGAATTATTACTCGTTTTATTTGAATTATTCGAATCATTTATTTTATTCGAATCATTTTTTTATATTTATTTGGATCATTTGTTTATTCGAATTATTTGATTTATTCATTTTATTCATTTATTCATTTTATTCATTTATTCTTTATTCGAATCATTGTTTTATCTAAATCATTTGTTTTATCTGTGTTTAGATTTTACCTTTGTTTTATTTGAGCCATTTGTTTTATTCGAGTCGTTTGTTTTGTTCATTTATTTGTTTTGTTCATTTATTTGTTTTATTCATTTTATTTGTTTTATTCATTTATTTGTTTATTTGCTTCATTCATCTCAATTGTTTTATTCGTTTTATTTGCTTTGTTTCGTTTATTTTGTTTGCAGTCTTTTGATTTTTTTCCTTCCATTTTTATCACTTCAAATTTTTTGAAAAATTGTCAAATTGACCGTTTTTTATATTCAATATTCTGCTTAGAATATGGATATGTTGTAAAATTTTGTGTAATGTCATTATTATGCCATTGACAATCAATAAAGATCTCATCCTTGTAAAAAACACTACATGGTCAAAAAATTATTGCACATCTACTACTGTGATATCTAAAAAAATAATAAATAAAATTCGTCCAAAAATTTTTTTCAAAGATATTTCTTAGTAACTACACTACACTAAGATTTTGACATGTAAAGATACGCGCCTTAAATAAACATCCAAGTTGCTTTGAAGTTTTTAGTAAACAAATATCATTTTTAATAAATTTTGAACAAGTCAGATTTAGTGAAAGCCAACATACGATTTTTATAATGATCTAATTTCAAAAATATCAAAAATTCATGATACTAATAGAATCACAGTATCTCGTACCATTAAAAGTATCTTAATGGAAAAAATCTCGTTCTAATAAATAAAAGACAACAAATTCAATGAAATAATTCTCGATTAAGATTGTCAGAAGTACTTTGTATGAACTGAATCTCTTTTCTCGCGTTCCTGCTACAAAACTATTCTAAACGATCAATAAAGACAAATTGGTTAAATTGGCATCTCTAGAGAAGGAATTGGACAGTTAGAAAATGGAAGTCTGTTGTTTTGAGTATATTTACAATATTTAAAATATTGGACTAGGACGCGTTTGGAGAACCCCTGGTACTAGATTTAAATGAACATAAAGTTTTTCGAGCATTGTTTTACTTGTGTTGAAATTTAAATAGTTTATATCAGTGTTGGAAATTCAGGGTGCGCGCGCAGCATGTTACACCAAAATTGTGAAACATTTTATGTACAGTGCCGGTCACAAGTACACATCCAATTGTTTCAATTTTAAAATTTTGATGATCTTTCCAAAATAAGCAATAAACAAAATTTATTTTTTTTATATTAATATATACATCAGGAAAAAATTTTAACTCTCAAATTGTCTATCCACATCTCTATATACTGTCTCTAGAACAGAACGATGTGACTTGTATTGTTTCATTGCAAATTCTGCTTGGATTCCATCTAAACCTCTTCTATAGCATTCCATAAATCTTTTTGTTCTTCGTGCATATCTTCTCATTTCAACTAAACTAACAGAATCTAAAGCAATAGGAACATTCCTTTGTAAGCTACTCCAGGTATACTCACAATTATTTCAGGCATATCTCTTTGCTGATCCCCAGCACATCTCAATAAAATTTAGCTCAGGATGAAATTTGGGATAAAAAATGGCTTTATGACCTAAATTTTCAATTACTTCCTGCAAATAAGGTTTTTTTGGTTGGCAAAAATCTTCTTGAGCACCAAGAATATGTCTTGCACAACAGGAAGGGTTTTCATCTATATTTCCTTTTTTACCACAGGAAAGCCGCAGATGTGGTTGCCACAAACCATGTTCCATTAAAATAGTTCTAATTCCCTTTGCATGGCCATTTGAATCCACTAAATTTTGAACTTGTCCATTAAATAAAGTGCTTCTTTTAAGTGGTTGCTTACCTCCATCACTTAAATTCATATTATTTACATCAAGAGCATCTTTTGCAGGTGAAGCATGGGCAGATGAATTGTCAAAGGCAAATACTGCAATGGCTCCAGGATGGGTTTTCTCAAAGATTGGTATTGCATGTTCCACAATCTATAATATAAAATTTTTTAATCATTATGTATATACTAAATTAGACACTTAAAAAAATTTACCTGTTTTATAAGTTGATCCAAATTCCACCATCCATCATTATTTTTTCCTGGACTAATTATGATACGAGCTTCATGTGGCATGTTATCACTTACCTCTAGT